GGGAGTGGTGCGGATGCCCCAGACACCAGCACAGGGGCTGCTACAGCTGGAGATTGTGGGGACCGCGGCCTGTGGGGCGGGGAGCGGATATAGTGCAGGCCTGGAATTGAGTTTCAATCCGCTGACATCTATCCTGCAGGGCCGATACGGGTCTGTGTGTCAAATTGGACAGGTGCCTGCAGATCTCCTCCAGCGGCGAAGGGACCTCCTCTAGACTCAGTCATGGCCTTCTGGTACTGTAATGGGACCGCCCGGCGGTACTACTAGCACTCCACTGAATAGGCGTCCCCAGCGCACGGAGTCTAAGTCCCAGGGTGCTTGTTCACCAGGGCTCCCTGATGGTGGGGATGGACTTGGAGCTCCTGAGACCAGGTCGTGGCTACTGGGTGCGCCGTCAGTGGTAGTAGTATGCGCAAGGGGCTCCCACGGGGAAGAGTCTGATGTGAGGAGGTCAGAAGACCCCACTGCACGGGATGGATGGATGGATGAGCAAGGTCAGACGGGCCGGGTCGGTAACAGAGAGGGCGGCAAGGTACAAGGCAGCGGGCATAGAATGGTGGGTCACACGCCGGTCAGCAACAGCAGGTCAAATCCAATAGGGGGCATTCAGGAGAGAGGTCAGGCAAAGCAAGGGTCAGAATAGGAGAAAACAGCAAGGTCAGGTATAACTCCGGGTCAATAACTTACAGGGTACAGGTTCACAGGATACAGGATGCAGGAAAGACCAGAAGGCACTGAATGACAGCTCAGGGTCGTTTAAATATCCGCCCTGCGCTGCCATTGGTGCCAGGCGGGCTAGGGCCGCGGCTTCTACTGCGCATGCGCGAACTCGAACGCCGCGGCCGGCCCGGACCCAGTGCTCGAATCCCTGCGCCGGGGGGGGCATACTGCGCCTGCGCCGGGGACCAACGCGGCGGGGATCGAGGGGATCCCTGACACACAGGCTCAGACTGCATAGATATATTTGTATATTCATGAAGACGGTGGATTTTTATGTGAACAGGGAGGAGGAGACTGCAGCCATGTTTTGGACGATGCTGAATGCAGGAGCCATTCTGGAGAATGCTGAAAGAAGGGGCCGTGTGAGCTGCAGCTGGGTGAAGCTGATGAGATTGCTGCCAGGAAGCTGATGAGAGCCGAGGAACAACGCAGCATACACTACAATATAGCAGCTTGTTGGAGAGACATTTGTTCTGTTCAGAGTCACCAGCGGATGAAAAGTAGACCCGGGTCGGTAAGATCGTGCACGCACCTCATTTCAGTGTTGGCGCCTTGAGACTGAATCCAGGCCTATAGTTAGTTAGTTAGGGTCTCTGTTTGTGTCAGGCCACAAGTGTTGTTACTGATTATTGGAAGGACTCCACAACTTAAAGTGACATTTCATATTGGAGAGCTGATAAAATCCTACAAACTCAAGCCAGACTGGCGTTTTGCACAGGAGACATACTCAGGCACGTGCTACAGGAGCAGTTATGGGAGAGGGAATACTGTAGATTTGTGTAAGATTGTAAGCTGTTGTGCTGCACCGCAGGCTAGCCCATACCGTACACCCATACACTGATTCCTGCTCTTTTAGGGTAATAACAGGTAAGGTGTGGCAGCTTAGTTGTGTCCGACAGTAGGTAAATTACTTCACTTTCTACCTTCATCCATCAGAAGGCGCCGTGCTGTGCAGCACAAGGGTCTCAGCCTTTGGGCTGGGTGTATGTAAATTTATTGTATGTTCCCAGCATTTGTGGTTGTGTTTATTTGCCACATCTAAGTAAAATTCTGTTGTGGCAAAAGCTGGTGTTGAGGTTGCTTTCCTCGTTCGTGACTTCACTGTATCCTGGGGAGCCCACCCCAGTACACGGCTTACATGGACAAGGCCCTAACTCTGCTGTGGTTGGCTAATTAATAGGCCCTCATTTCCTGGCATTATTACTGTCATGTTTTTTTACATTTACACATCGTGGCCCTTAACCATATATAAAGCACTTGGGGAGTCAATGTATATTAATCAGCATTTCACTTACATTCATTGACTGACACAGACTTTCTTGTTTAATCTTGACCAAACAGGGTTTTATAGCACCATCCATAGCAGTAGAATGCTAGGAAAAAAAAAAAACTTTGCACCTCCTATGGGCCTTCTGGTAAATGCACTCTCTGCCATAAGCAAACCAGTTCTGCCTAGTTTTCAGCAGCCAGGACTTTGTTGCCTGCTTGGACCATTGGTTCCACAAGCTTTTTTGCTTTCTGGTCTTTTTTTTCTGTTTTTTTTTGTACAGAGACCTTCTATTAACCTCCAAGCTGGGCGGCGGGCTGGATATTGTAGATCCAGTGATCACCCCAGTCTGGCCAGCAAGTGCACACAGACTGCTAGCTCTGCTCTTGTAGTATGTAGACCACCTGCACTACCCAAATAGAATAAAATTGAAATCAGGAAGCTGCTATCACCTGGCTATACATCTGAATACGTTGCAAACAAAGAAAAAAAAATGGTGCTGCGCTTCCATACACAGTACCTAAATACACTCAAATGGAATGATTAATGCATGAATATAATACATCTCTAATAAATTCTAATATATGAGATACACACTTCAAAAAAAAGGACAATATCATGTGATAATATGCAAACATATATACATATATAAAGAAGAAATAAACATCAAACACTAAAGAAAATGGTGAGACAATGTACATGCGCCCCTTCATTAAGGGAAAAAAAGTGACATAAATCACAAATAAGAAGAGTGATAAATAAATGGCATAAATTATGCCTGCAAAAGTGCCGTCAAAAAATACAACTGGCGTGAATAATATTTAAAAAAATATACGGTGAGACTGTCAGGATCAAAAACCCCACTCAAGACAAGACTTTCGGACCCACACAAAGTCCTTCCACATAAATGTGTTTCAAAAATGTGATAAGTGACCAAAATGAACAATTATAAATCATGTGTTCAAGTCCCTAATTGGGATTTATTTGTCTTAACACAAACACATAAAAAGTGCCACAAAATATATATAACACAACGTGCTGCAAAATACATAAAAATTCCCTACTAAACCACTAAATGCCACAAATTACGTGCTACCAAAAAAATAACAATAAACAGCAAATGTCCCCATATGAAATCTTCAAACAGCTGAATAAAGTGAAAAATTCCACAGTAATACAGGCGATACAGGTGTAAAAAGATGGGATCCGTCACTAGCTGGATTGCCCCCTCACCTTCATGTAGCGACCCCAAGGGGCCTGTTAGGAATGGACTGGCCAGCAATGGTGGGACTCACCTGCCTTTTGATCTGCAGTACCAGGGCTGGCCAGCGGGTGCTCCCAGCAATCAGAGACTCAACCTTTCAGCCAGCTAACACCTGGAACTGATGATACTGGGGTATTTAAGGGATGGCCAGACTTGCAGACTCTGCCTTGGTGTTGTGTTTGTCCTGGGCCCTGTATCTGTCCTGCATCCTGTTTCTGTTCCTTTGCTGACTTCTCCTGCTCTGATCCTGGCTTGTGACCCTGACCATCCCTCTGTCTGACCCTCTGTACTACGCTGCTTGCTACCTGTTCTGATCCCTGGCTTGTGACCCGGACCATCCCTCTGCCTGACCCTCTGTACATGCTGCTTGCTACCTGCTGAACCTGGCCTGTGACCCCGACCATTCTCCGCTTGCTCCCCCTGTACCTACCTGCCCAATTGATATTGACCCGGCCTGCCTGACGACGCTTGCTTGTATATACTGTTATCTGTGGGTGGTTTGGTTTGGTTTGTTTGCACCGTATTATGTTTTAGTATTGCACTGCGTTTATGTTTGTACTGTTAGTGTTAATAAATTATATTGTTTATAACATATCTGAGGTCTGCGTTTTCCCTGCTTCAGTCACACACCTCTGGTCATACCTGGGAGCCCTGACATTACACCAAGGCCAATCCTGACCAGAAGTGGCTGCACAGGGAAGCCATCTTGGCTTGTTGATGGGAAGGATGGATCTTGAGGAGGTTGAGTATTTATATCTGCTAGTGTTTGATGACAGGGAGTATGCTTATCAAACTCTGAAGGAGTATACCCGGGATGAATTGCTAGAATGTATACGGCTCGCTCATGTTCTAGTAGATCAGGGCACAGTGTTCTCTGAGGTGCAGCCCATTGATTGAGGTTTGTGCAGAGTTGGTTTCATCTGGTTCCCCCGAATGCAGGGATGAATTTTTGCCACCATTTAGTGCAGACCAGGTAGAGTCCCTGGTGTGGTTATTAGAGGATGATGTGGGTTACTTTCTGGAGCGTTATTCCACATGTTCACCACAGACACTGAGAGATTGTATAAACGCAGTGCAGTCATTGACCAGACAGGCTTTGTGTAAGCTCAGCTTTGTTCAACCCCTACTGCAGACATGGACAGATTTGTTGTTGCACCCAGCCTCAGTCAGCTTACAAAGACCCAGTCCTGCTTCTAACTCTACTCCTGTATTCCCACCAGCTCCTCCAGTTACAGCCCAGTATACTTGGCTATCTACCGCATGTCAGTACCCTGTTCCCACACTCGCTGCACCTATCCTGCCTTTAACCCTGTAAAAAGCCCTCTGTAGCAACTGCTCCCTCTCCTGTATTTCCATCCTCCAGTTCTTCTCTGTCTCCAGCTGCTCCATTCGTTTGCAGACCTGCGTTTACTTGCAGTGCTCCAGTAGTTAAAACCAGAAAAAAGCGAAAATTCTTTCCAACCAATACCATCCTGCCAGTATCCAAACCGGTGAGCCTGCCTTCCGTGGTTCAGACTGATGCCTCTACTCGGCCTGATGCCTCTACTCGGCCTGATGCCTCTACTCGGCCTGATGCCTGTACTCGGCCTGAAGCCTCTACTCGGCCTAATGCCTCTACCCAGCATGATGAACTGATCCAGCCTGACGATCCTATTAGGCCAGTTGACTCGATGCCGCTGTTGATCCAGATGATCCGGTACCTGATCCGGTGCCCGCTGTCGTGCCAATTGACTCAGAGCCCGCTGTCGTACCTGGTGACTCGGTGCCCACTGCCTTGCCAGATGACGCGGTGCCCGCTGGCAAGCCAAATGACCTGATGCCTGGTGACCTAGTGTCCGCTGTCATACCTGATGACCCGATGCCCGCTGTCGAGCCAGACAATCCGGTACCTGATGACCCGGTGCCCACTGTCGTGCCTGTTGACTCGGAGACCCCTGCCTTGCCAGATGACGCGGTGCCCGCTGTCGAGCCAAATGACCTGATGCCTGGTGACCCGATGCCCGCTGTCCAGTCAGACGATCCAATGTCTGATCCAGTGCCCGCGGTCATACCAGTTGACTCGGAGCCCACTGCCTTGCCAGATGACGCGGTGCCCGCGGTCGAGCCAAATGACCTGATGCCTGGTGACCCGATGCCCGCTGTCCAGCCAGACGATCCAATGTCTGACCCAGTGCCCGCGGTCATACCAGTTGACTCGGAGCCCACTGCCTTGCCAGATGACGCGGTGCCCGCTGTCGAGCCAAATGACCTGATGCCTGGTGACCCGATGCCCGCTGTCCAGCCAGACCATCCAATGTCTGACCCAGTGCCTGCGGTCATACCAGTTGACTCGGAGCCCACTGTCGTGCCTGGTGTCTCGGTGCCCGCCGCTCCGCCTGGGGGCCCGAGACCTGTTGCTCCGCTTGGGGGTCCAGCGCCCGCCCGCTCCGCCTGGGGATCCGGCACCCGCCGCCCCGCCTGGGGGCCCTAGACCTGTCGCTCCGCCTGAGGGCCCAAGACCTGTCGCTCCGCCTGGGGGTCCGGCACCTGCCACTCCGCTTGAGGGCCCGAGACCTGTTGCTCCTCCTGGGGGTCCGGCGCCCGCCGCTCCGCTTGAGGGCCCGAGACCTGTCGCTCCTCCTGGGGGTCCGGCGCCCGCCGCTCCGCCTGAGGGCCCGAGACCTGTCGCTCCTCCTGGGGGTCCGGCGCCCGCCGCTCCGCCTGAGGGCCCGAGACCTGCCGCTCCGCCTGAGGGCCCGAGACCTGTCGCTCCATCTGGAGGTCCGGCGCCCGTCGCCCCGCCTGGGGGCACGATGCCCGTCGCCCCGCCTGGGGGGCCCGTCGCCCCGCCTGGGGGCATGATGCCCGTCGCCCCGCCTGGGGGCCCGATGCCCGTCGCCCCTCCTGGGGGCCCGATGCCTGTCGTCCGCCCCGCTTGGGGGCACGATGCCTGTCGCCCCGCCTGGGGGCCCGGTGCCTGCCGCCCCCCCGGGGGCCCGGTGCCTGCCGCCCCGCCCGGGGGCCCGGTGCCTGCCGCCCCGCCCGGGGGCCCGGTGCCTGCCGCCCCGCCCGGGGGCCCGGTGCCTGCCGCTCCGCCCGGGGGGCCCGGTGCCTGCCGCTCCGCCTGGTGGCCCGCTGCCTGCCGCTTCGCCTGGTAATCCGATGTGCCTCTGCCCGGAGTCCTGCCCGATGTGCCTCTGCCCGGAGTCCTGCCCGATGTGCCTCTGCCCGGAGTCCTGCCCGATGTCCTCTGCCCGAGTCCTGCCCGATGTGCCTCTGCCCGGAGTCCTGCCCGATGTGCCTCTGCCCGGAGTCCTGCCCGATGTGCCTCTGCCCGATGTGCCTCTGCCCGATGTGCCTCTGCCCGGTGTGCTGCTGCCCGGAGTCCAGCCCGGTGTGCCGCTGCCCGGAGTCCTGCCCGGTGTGCCAGTCTTTGATATCCCGCCAGTTGCCAGACCCGGGCGGTGGAACATTTTGCCCAGCTAGGACTGTTTGGAGCGTCCTGAGGCCGCTCCTTGAGGGGGGGGTACTGTTAGGAATGGACTGGCCAGCAATGGTGGGACTCACCTGCCTTTTGATCTGCAGTACCAGGGCTGGCCTGCGGGTGCTCCCAGCAATCAGAGACTCAACCTTTCAGCCAGCTAACACCTGGAACTGATGATACTGGGGTATTTAAGGGATGGCCAGACTTGCAGACTCTGCCTTGGTGTTGTGTTTGTCCTGGGCCCTGTATCTGTCCTGCATCCTGTTTCTGTTCCTTTGCTGACTTCTCCTGCTCTGATCCTGGCTTGTGACCCTGACCATCCCTCTGTCTGACCCTCTGTACTACGCTGCTTGCTACCTGTTCTGATCCCTGGCTTGTGACCCGGACCATCCCTCTGCCTGACCCTCTGTACTATGCTGCTTGCTACCTGCTGAACCTGGCCTGTGAGCCCGACCATTCTCCGCTTGCTCCCCCTGTACCTACCTGCCCAATTGATATTGACCCGGCCTGCCTGACGACGCTTGCTTGTATATACTGTTATCTGTGGGTGGTTTTGGTTTGTTTGCACCGTATTATGTTTTAGTATTGCACTGCGTTTATGTTTGTACTGTTAGTGTTAATAAATTATATTGTTTATAACATATCTGAGGTCTGCGTTTCCCTGCTTCAGTCACACACCTCTGGTCATACCTGGGAGCCCTGACAGGGCCAATCAGGGGCGGACTGACAACTCATGGGGCCCCCGGGCAATAGGGGATCATGGGGCCCCTGTATCCTTGCCCAAACTCAAAAAAGCCTATGAAAAAGGTACCAGGGGCATCTCATGGGGCCCCCTACTACTGGCCCCGGGCCCTCGGGTAGTGCCCGAGTTTCCAAATGGTCAGTCCACCCCTGGGGCCAATAAGCCTTCAAAATATAAGATACAGCAATATGGCCAATCAGCAGGTACAAATCCGGTTTAGCAATAGTGGTGGTATCCCCCTTGTTGAACAATAGATATAACCAATATAAGAAACCAGGTTTCTTTTAGGCAGGATGATAAGCTCAGCCAACTCACTATTTATATTGTAAAGAAGAAGAAAAATCCTCCCATAGTGTAATACTGTATGTTTATTTTAAATATTATAAGTCAGCAAAATGCTCACTCACATTTCAATGGTAAAATACAAGCTTACAGAGCCTCATATGCAAAACGCTGGGTGTATTCTCTGGGTGTACCAAAATGGCGCCCACGCCAGAACTGACGTCACCACGTCTCCGTAATGGCTGACGCGTTGCATCACGTATCATGTGATTTCCGGAGGAATTAATCATGCCATTTGAGTGTATTTAGGTACTGTGTATGGAAGCGCAACACCATTTTTTTTCTTTATGTTAGCTCTGCTCTTGGTTGGCTGTAACATGCCCCTTCCTGGACCAGGATGACCAGTGAGTTAAAAATATATAAGTGCCGAATTATGAATTTAGATTGATAATCGAACAATTCCTCTTGAATTTTGATTAATCAAATTAATTAATAAATGCACACGTCATTCATGGTCCTCACACACAGCCTTGTATTAAATGACGTATTATTCTTCAGAACTGGACCAGCCAGAAATAACTCTCCTTATAAACTCTGTTCACCTTTCTTTGTTACTCTTTGATCCATCTATAATAATTCCTAATCCTTATACAGATTTTAAATATGATATATAATAATAAAATATTATTATTAATAATAATAATAATAATAATAATAATAATAATTATTTATTATTATTAATATTATTCTAATATAATTAAAGGATGTAATCATATCTTTCCATATTTGAGCAGTTATATTTCTATCTCTCTGGAAACCTACTTTACATGCTAAAACTTGTCATGACTTTCTATTGCTCCTATAAGAGTGATATGTTTCTTAACCTTTTAACAAAAGGTGTTCTATTAACTAGAATGACTCTGAAGCTTCAACAAAAAAATATTAAATATATGAATGTGGAGAAATTAAAATAATAATAATATCCTTATCCTAATATGGATGTTAGTTTCAGAATAAATGAATCATCAAAAATTAATGTGGCCTATAACCATGTTTTCAATAATACATTATTTAATCAGTAGTAGACAGAGTTCTTCTGATAAATCTTTTCTTCATGCAATGTCTATAAAATATCTTCTTTAAGTTCTGTAGAATTAGAAAACCTTGCTGAACGTAATAAAGCAGTTATAAGTATGAAGTATAAAACTTTTGTCCAGTCCTTTTCCCAAGAAGATCTCTTTTTTAACTTCTGAATTCCTAGATGTTGGTTTCAAAGGAGATTGTTACCCTCCATATTTGGTTTTAGATGCCATTTCTGTGAAAGAAATGCAGTATCATTACTTTGACATTAACATCTTACATTATTCTTGTACCTACCTTTTTTCAACAAAAGGTAAAAATTATGAGGCAATAGTTTTATGAATGTGGAACACTATATGTGAAGTAACACTACTTTATATTTCTCTTCACAGAAAACTTATGTATATCAATGTATGACAGGACGCAACATCTCTTTTTTGGTCATGACTCAAAACCTTGTTTTCACAAAGAGGTTTTGTATCACCCTAGAGATGACAATGGACTATGCCTTTGTTCTCATCTCCATAAAATTAGAAATATACATAACTGTTTTCTGTGCTGCCATTATTATTCTAGTGTTAGACTGTCCTGCAGTAACAAGTACTGGTTCAATACCTTTCTCAGTTCTTATGTTGAAAACGTGAGGTAAAGACTTCTCCGATACAGCTCTACAAACATGTTGGTGTGTTTTCCTGAAAATGTCTTCCTGTTACAACTATCTTAAGGTGTTTGGATGACAATGCTCTAAACCCTTGAGGATACCTTTCACGACATTCTCTGAAACCATCTTCCTCAAGAATAGTGAGCAGTCAGGTGTCTGTAATATGATCTTGTTTGACTTTACTATGCTTTCTGATTCTTTGATTTCATAATAAACACTTGGCAGTTGCTCTACACCTGACTCAAAAGTTTTTTCCAATGACGATAAAACTCTGGAGAAGTAGCTAATTATTCTCTCATTACCATCTTTTAAATGAGACAATGTTACTGTGATTGCATCCTCAGAAATATCAGTTTTCAAAACAAAGGGGCTTCAGAACAAATCTAATCTGTATCTAATGCTGGAGAATTCTGCAAATCTTTTTTCAACACTTCAAAAGCATTTTTCTCATTTGGACCCCATTGGTCAACTATATTATCTTTACTCCTCAAAAGATTATATAATGGTTTAAATTTCTCAGTGAAACCATGTATAAATCTCTGCAATGATTCATTTTATTCAAAAATTGATGCAATGCTTTATGAGTTATTGGAAAGGAAGTGATAGCTCTGACTGTTTCTTGTAATAATTGTCTCTTTCCTTGACTAAGCTGCATGTGAAGGTATTTCACTTAACTTTTCATCAGCTGAACTCTTTCCATGTTTAGGTTTAGTTCTGAAACCTGTAATAACATAAACAACTCAGACAAAAGAGCTTTATGTTCATCAATATTCTGCGTACTCAGCATAATTGTATCTACATGCTGAAAAATGCATTCTGGCCTTGAGAACTTTGATAGAATTTTTGCTATAAACTCATGAACTACACTGTCACTAATATCTAGGCCAGCTAGCTTGTACTGACAACTTTTAGCTAAAAGGATGGAAAAAAAGTCTGTTAGCAACTTCCAGTACTGAAAACCTTTTGGCCTTGGCATACAAAT